CAGGCAGGAATAAGTTTTCAATCTCTGTTTCAAGATAGAATTAAATTGTAGATACCTTCGTGTGTACATTTCACTTTCAATAAGCTGGCATTTTTAAATGGAAAAAAAAGAACATTCCATCAAACATTTCCAACCAGTTTTAGTACTTAACAGACAAATGCAAAATTTAATTTCTCTTTTTCTTTTGCCTGTTAAGAATTACTTCTAGACACAGGGTATTACCTCAGGCTTTCATCAACTGCTTTTCAGCTACAGAAACCTCTTCTTGTAAAAATAAATATATAAATAATTATCTGCAGTATTATGGACGTGGATATAATTTCATTTGAATCAGGATAGCACTCAGTGGGCCATAAAAGTCTATTTCAACAAAGAATAACAATTAAAAAGATGGCCCATAAAATCCATCACCATATTTGTAGGGAGGAAAAAAAAAAAAAAAAAAGACAAAAACAACCAAACAAGACATCAACAGCCACACATGAGATTCTTTAAAAATAAATAAATAAAAACACTGTACTATCTTCTTCTGTTCTGTGCATTCACAACACCAGTTAGTTGCAGAAGCTTTCACCAGATGTAAGAAAATTTTTGCCAGGATGTTTTCAAGTGGAACAACTTCCAAAATAAGAGATGAGCTGGAGGTTAATAAAAAAAAAAAAAACTACCAGCTTTGTGAGTTTCCACAAATAATAAACTGAAAGGGTCACATAATTCCCAGGTATCAAATATTTTCAATAATTCAATATTTTTCTGGTTTTCTTCCTGTTTTTTTGGGGGGGATTTTTTTGTTTTGGGTTGTTGGTTTTTTTGTTTTGTTTTGTTTTTTTTCCCAAGGCACATTCAGGAAAATGTCTAAAGGAACTGTAACAGTCTTCTGGGACAGGAAGACTAAGGTTTCTGTAAAAAATGTTATATTAATTTTTATAGTGATGCAAAGTCAGGGAAGGGTTGTTAAGGGATGGCCTCTTGCCACAGGGTGGAGTTTTGTTTTGGTATCCTTTTAGAGTCTGCAGGTGTTTGGCAGGAGCTGAAATCAGGGCCAGCTGTGATATTTCAGCTCCGATATTTCCCTCCCCATATTTCTCAGAAGTGATGCATCAGGGTGATGTCTTACACCTGATGTACTCAACTTGTGTGGTATGACTGTAACTGCTTTGAAAGAGGGGGGAAAAAAAAAATGAGTACCACTGCATGGTTTTCATATTTATTTTCAGCTGGAAGCACTGATACAGAAAAATTCATCAACAAGCATTGATTTAGTCTGGTAAAACATTAGCTAACAAACTGCTTATAATAGTTTTGGGTTGCTTTTTTGCTTCCAATACAAGTCAGTCACTTGATTAAAGTAATGACACTGTATAAGGACTGTGAAAGAAATCATGTTACAAAATCAGGGGAGGATGATGCTTTAAAGAAAACAAACAAAAAGCCATTCTGAATAGAATCTGAATAGTTTCTATTAAAATTGCATTCTCTTTTAAGTTTGTTTTGTTTGGAAAACCTCAAACCACATTGTATTTCATACACATGTTCCCCAGAGTATCCTAAATAGGACCATACTGAGGTCACTGGTAAGTTTTTAAAACGTTTTAAGAATTCCTTTAATGTTTTGTACTATCTTGGTCTAGTTAAAAGAACATAGTTGTTGATTTTTTTTTAATAGCTTGAAAAAGTTTGACTATAAAAAGCTTCATGGAAATAGTTTATACTGTACTATTAAAAGTTTGTAAGAGTTTTTATGAATATTTCCTCCCTCTCGTTTTTAAGAAAACTGTCTCCTTTACTACTAAGTTGGCCCCTTTTTCTCTCAGCCCTTTTAACCATACATGCACAACCACACACACAAGCACACACTTCTATCCACAGACTGATTTACATAGCAGTACAACTGCCTGTGGTATCCATTTTAGCTTCACAAATGAATAAATAATTACAATTGGTGGGAAAAGTGGACGTTTCATTCTGTTCATGGGGGGGAAAAAAAAAAAGTATCACCTGGCACTTCAGCATAGTTAAATATATATATATATATATCCATGTTTTTTGGCAGCTTACTGTCAGTATGATTGAAGCTGTAATGACATTAACAATATGCCCTGGGATAAAAAAAAAGTGTTGCTTTATCTCAGTTTATAGAAGTTATACAAACTCCTCTTGGTCTTCTGAGTTCGTTAAAATAAAATATAATTTGAAAACACACCTGCAGCTGATTAAGTTCCATTAGATCATTTCAGTCACCTCCTTTAGCTGGTCCTTCCTACCTCCTTCAAGTTGCTTCCATTCCTCCTCTGAGTTACTGCAACAATTTTCAAGGTTCTGTCTCTGGCTGGCTCCAGCTGTGTGCACCCTTGGAAGCATCACTAAGAGCTGAGCTGGCACAAGGGGTCGGTTTCTTCTCCCAGGTAACTGGCGATAGAATGAGAGGCAGTGGCCTCAAGTTGTGCCAAGGGAGATTCGGGTTGGATATTAGGAACAAATTCCTCTCAGAAAGAGTGGTCAAGCATTGGAACAGGCTGTCCAGGGAAGCAGTGGAGTCACTGTTCCTGGAAGCACTCAAGAAATGTGTAGAAGCAGCACTAAGGAACATGCTTAGTGGGCATGGTGAGGATGGGCTGATGACTGGACTAGGTTATCTTAAAAGTCTTTTCCAAACTTAATGATTCTATGATTCTATCTGTGATTGGTCACTAATTGTGCCAGATTGTGCTTACAATGAATGATGACTTCATTACAGATTAACAAAATCTGTAGATTAGTAGGAAGGCAGTGGCAATAAATTAAAAAATGGAATTGCATTCAGATCCTATTCTGCTGGCTAACACCAAAATGGAAGAGCTCAACTAAACCTAAGAACCATCTATCAGAAGTTTATCTATACTGAAGTATCATCAGGCTTGGTACAAGTATTTATCCTTGTTGTTACACAGTATTTTTAAGGCTTTTGATTACAAACTAAGCGACAGCTTTCCAATCTAAACTGAGTCTGGGGAAGACAAACATAAGCAAATCAAACAAGAACATTATAATGGACCATTATAGAGAATGATATAGAGAACTTAACAATTGAGTTGAGTTTTATACATGAGAAAAATCTTGCTGCTATTATAGCATGTGCTCATTGGTGTGAGCCATTCCTTCTCTGCTGTAACTGGGACTTCTAGGTGCAGAGGACCTGGATTCCACATTTTCAGATGTCAAGATAGGCTTCTCCTTAAACGTAGACACTGACCCAATGCACTGTCAAGGCTTAAGAACCCGAAATTACAGACGAGGTTATAAGAGAGCAATGCTATATGCAAGTATGTGTGTTTATCCCAGCTGTGTGCTTTCTATGCAACAGCAGAAGGATGAGCAGGTAGAGAGGCAAACTCAACAATGTGCAGTGGCAAAAAGCTGCTAGACCTGAATGGCCTCTCAAGATATTTAAAGATGGGTTGGGGTCCATTCCAACCCGGGCCATTCCGTGTGTGTGAAGGCAGCACCAGAAATCAAACACAAGTATAAAATGCAACATTAACACATATATTCATACTTCATTTCCAATAGTGATAGGAACATGGTGACTGAGTGTCATTTATTTCAGAGAATGGTGCAGAAACGACAACGTTTTCAAGTAGTTTTATACAGAATAAAAAACAAGCAAACGAGCCCACCATATACACACAAATCAGTACGCCCTTTTATGAGAAGATGGTTTGAAAAGCCTTTATTGCAAAGCTGTGTAATAGCTTTTGTGCACAAGCTAACTCTGTCAGGTTATTTAATATTTAAATGAACTCTAAGTAGAACAGGGTAACTGAGCCAATCTTATTTCAGTTTGGGAGGCTGCCATTCCACAACATACGACCTTTTAAAAAGCAGTTTCATAGTGGAACCAACTTCTCTAAGTTTGATGTTTCACCAAAAAATCCCCACAGACCATCTTTTTAGTGTTGCCCCAGGCACAGCCAACGCAGCCATGTTCTGAGCAAAATAAAGACTCTAGCTGTATGTTCTTCAAAGCTGAATTTTAATCCCTGTGGAAGTTATGAAGTGAAGAATTTGGCCCATGCTTACTCTGAAGCACAGTACTAAATCATTTTAAGGTAAAGGAGTACTTTTATCTGAGAAAGACATTTCTGTCCTCATGGTGGCCTAATAATGTTGGTTTATACTTCTAAAAGTACAATAAACGTATTTATAACAAACGTATATAATAAACATATTCCTTTAGGATAGAGATTTGCCCGGCCTTTCCAAAAAACTACAATTTGATTTGCACTCCTGACAAACACTTCTTGACAAAAGACAAGGGACACAAAAGTTTGGCTTCCTTTCCTCTTCAACAGCCAATCATTTCTCATTACTTCCATTATTAGAAATTAATTTTAAGGAGATTAATCACAGAATAGAAAAGCTGGAACTACTGTTACACTCTTCAAGACAGTTTGTTAGGCCCTTTAACCCAACAGAAGGGGAGGAATCAGTGAATATGCAGATATCCTAACTCCACCTAAGCTGGAAAGCAAGAATATTGTTTAGATTTTTGTGCTTCATTTTTTTCCCCCTAAAAACTATAAATTCTAGTTATCCATATTCTGTACACAAAAGTGTACAAAATTGACTGTGGGCTACAAGAAAGGTACTTTTTTGAATAGATATTCAGAGTAAACGTGCAGAAAAGAGAAAATATGCATCTGACAGAATGTGATCACTAAATATTACAGTTTCTTTCCTTCCCTTATCAGACATTTTTGAAATGCCATTCAAGACATGGAATACCTATGGTTTAAAACATCACGGCAGCATCTGTGTTCCCAAGCATGTAAATAATTCAGAGATCTGTATTTATTTCTTATTACAACATATCATTGGCGTTATGCTCAATCCCCAATAAAAGTCTCAAATCCCATTTTAATATAGCTGAAATGAGGTCTGAGTAACAGGAAAAGTGATCATTACTTAGAGTTTGTAAAACACATGTAATAATGCATGGAAAAGGCTTGTTGAAAACCAACCTGAGGCTCCGAGAATACCTGCTGCATATTGTTGATTGGACCGTATGGAACTCCACTGCCTTCAAAGAGCTGCAACCACTCGACTGTTGTTTTTTCTGAAAACCTAAGAATAAATAAGAAGCATGTGGATTCAACTCGGTGCATCAGATTGTGGAAAAGGTATAAAACCTCTCCTCCCCCTCTCACTGCTTCCATACCCTTCCCCATTGATTTCTTCCCAGTCAATACCCTAATGAAAATGTACTACATGTGTTTCTCAGAAATGCAAATCCAAGGCCACAGGGCAAAGAACTTAGTTGAACTGACTTCTATCTGCTCATCTGAAGAAATCCAGTGATGATGTAAAGCTAAATTTATCAGCAGTTTCAAATAAGGATCAACGGGTTCCCTCCAGTCCTTAATTACAGTAATGTGCTTCACATTTGTTTTCTTTTATGTACATATTTAACAACAAAAAAAGTTATAAAGTGGGTATAGTCTAACATGCAACACTGTTCAATAAAAGCTGATTTAAAGCACCACAGTGTTTTTCCTTCATTACATCCAAAACATATGTCAGGACTAACAGCCACATTTTTTGGTCAGATAACAACATTGACTACATGTTTATTTGCGTTATGATTGTATCCTAAATCTATCCTAAAGATATCCAGTTCAGCAAATACACTCTGTGGCTATGCTGGTGAATGGAGAGCTTCTTGTCCTTTTCTCATACACAAAAAGCTTAGCTTATTTTTCTTAAGCATTCATTTTCCAGACTGGTAGCACTACTCTACTGCATTTTTCCTCTTTCGCTACATTTTCTTCTCTCATTTGCTTGGCATTTTCTGTAACTTTCTGGAGTTTTGAAGCAAATGAACTTATTTGGAGTCCCTAAATGACACAGAGGTAGGCCATGTTATTAGAAAGGAAAGATCTCCATCATGATAGGAACAAACCTGAAAAGAAATGGGGTATAAAGGCCCAACAGAAATGAAATTAGAAGAAATCTTGATCTCTTGAATTACTAGTATTCCGTTGCTCAACCAAGTCTTATCTGGAACAATATCAGTAGCCTTCAGCTATATTTCCAGCATATTCTTATGCAAAAACAACTTTAAAGTTTCAGAGAGAAATAGATCAAAGTAAACAAAGACCAAGCTCGTCCCTAACGCCAGAAAAAAAATTAAATCATTACAAAGAAAACTTACAAATTATCTTTTCATATATGTACAGAGATCAGCTGAAGACTACTCAGATTCTAATGATGCTCAGAATAAAGAAGAGAAAGTACTGATATCAAAGAGTTGACTTCATTTAATACATGGCATAGGTATGGATCCAAGCTTTACTGGTAATGTCTTTCTTCCCGTGCAGAAGTCCATGCTTTGTGGGAGTTAATCCCAATATCCAATGCAATTTTCACTATAAATAGGAAATACCCAAGTTTTGTACGGCACTTCCTCAGAAATAGAATTTTTCCTCCTCCTTTGTAGGTGCAAAGATGACAAATAATAGTGGTAGAAATTGAAGGAGGAATAACACGGAAAATCAAAATAAATGAGTATGCAAACTGTATTCTAAAGATAATGAAGTATCACTTCTCAAGAAAATAGAAGATTATCACATTATTTATTTATTTATTTATTTAAAAAAGGTCATAAAACTCTCATTTAAAAAAATAATAATTTGGGATTAAAAGACATTCCAATTTAAATGGAATTAAAGGTCGCTTCCAATCCCTGATATTCTGTGATTTTGTGATATCTGCTGTTCGTTAGTAAGGGAAAAATGCTGCTTTGAAATCTGATAGAAGATAAGACATGGATTAAAAATGCACACTGCCTGCAGTTCAGGTTACTAAGTATTCACTGATAGCAGTTCAGTGCTCCAAAATATCAAGTATAGACAACATAAACTTCCAAGAGCAGTAAAAGACTGAAATTCTCTACTGAAAATAGAAATATATATCACCAGGAATTTGTGAGGCATAGATAAAGTTTTGCTCTTATTGCTTGTTTTAAAACACCACATGCTTCGATACTGCCTTCTGTATTTCCCTACTCACCACATAATCTCCTTTTCTAATCTAAAAGATTTAGAGTATCATCTGTCTTTCAGTGGGAAAGCATACATTGATGTATATATATACATAAAATCACTGCTGGATACACCTAAAAGGCTAAAAAATGGTCTGTCTTCAAGAACCTCAATGATACCAAGTGGCTGCAGGAGAGCTCAAACAGGTGATTTAATTTATTTATTTCCAGATGAATCCCTTTTCCCTCTAAAATGCTTTGTTATAGACATAATCACAAAAATGCCATTTAAATTATCTATGATTTATTTGTATAATCATTTCGATTATGTAGCTTAGCTGCTCCCAATTATTACTAGTATTTTACATGTTCAAAATAGCTTACTTTTAGTTGTTGAACGATATTTGAATTCATACTCATTTTGAAAAGAGTTGGGGAAAAAAATGGAGAACAAACCAATTGGTGGAATCTTTACTGTGAAGCCTGTACTAAGATTTTCTTCACTGAAAGCAGGTAGTGGTTCCCCATGATGTTTTATTTGCAGTTTAGGTAGAACTCTGCACAGTTCTTGGGAAGCAACTGAAGCTGTGATACATAAATGAGGAATCAGATTTTGCAGCAGTTAACATTAAGGATATTTCAGGCTTAAAAATACAATAAGAACTGAAAATGTATCATGGGCTGAACTAATGGAAATGCTACTTCATAGGAAGAAATCCTACTAAATACCTGTTTTTCCTATATTTTTAAATTCAGCAGGCAACATTAAAGAAAGAACTCCAAATTTGAACTATATACTCAGTAAGGTAATCCAAAAAACATTATAGAGCCATACAAGGAATAGCCTCCAAAAGTCCAAAATTTAAATTAAAAAAAAAAAAAAAAAGGCTCTCACCTTATTTCCTTCACAAACCACAGGTGTAGTTGTTTCTTGAAAAACAAGACCTAAACTCCCTTCTCTTTTTTAAGAATTGCTAGTGAAACTCATAAGGCATGCCATAAACTTCAATAATCTTGAAGCAATGGGGTCTTCAGATTATTAAAAATTATGCCACAGCAAAACATACAATTTCTGGATGCTGTGATGGAAGAGATTAAAAGCAAAAAGATTTACCAGCACTCTACTATGCAAGTTATCAGTCTGAGGTGCCTGGAAGTGACATCATTTTGGATAATGTCATGAAAACGCTTCCATTTCTATTAGACTTTAAAACCTGCTTCTACTGCACCAAACTGATTCCGCTTTAATCTGCATTAGTAACATTCCTTTAAATATAATCTGTGTTTATAAATATAAACTGTGTTTACCGTATGTTATAAAAACATTGTTAGCCTTTTCTGTGCTTCAAAAAACAGCTACAATGTCTAAGCTATTCATTTACTGGTGATCACATCTCAGATGTCAAACTCATCTGCAGTGCATCAGGTCTTGTCAAACATGTACTGGCAGTCATTCATGAGCTGTCATAGTAGGTCTTACATTTTATATCAGAAAAGTCATTTTGTTTCTGAAGCCTTTTCCAAGTACGTTTTATGGCTTTCAATGAAATAAAGATCTATAAAGCATGAATGAATCCACTTTGTGTACATTCCTTATATATACCCCATTTTTTGTGTCATCTAGGACACATGGTTATTGCTATATCCTATGTGGAAGCACATTCTCTTACACTCCTCTAAAGAATAGAGCCATCCAATTCCATATAAAGTAAGTTTAGAACAACTACAGAAGCAAGATACTGCTTTCTATAGGAAGCTCATGATAATTAATTTAGAACAATTTGAACCAAATGGAGACATAACTGCAACATCTAGGATTCTGTGACAGTTTTTATTTTTGATTGGTTGGTTTTATTTACATAGATGACCACAAAAACCCTCTCCTCCCTTCCAAGTTCACCACAGCATCCTTGTGTTTTGCAGCATGACTGGAGTTTGCGTTTTCTTCTATCAAAATCCATCATGTTTCAAATACCTACACTTACTCTCTTCAGCACTAATTATCTCTTTAAGAGGTAGTTAACATAGTAAAAGACTGCCCCAAAAGTAATGCCTCTGATTTTAGTACATTGGCCCACCACCATCTGTTGGTAGTACAGTAGAGGTTGAACACTCCAGCCAATATTCCATTACACAAAGTAAATATGTTATGTGACAGATGGCAGCAAAGGGGCACTGACAAAATGGCATCTGACATGGAAGTGAGTGAAGTAGAGGTGCGTCACTGAATTCCTCCGTACAGAAAAAATTGTATTCATTAATGCTTGTTGAGTCCAAGGAGTGGATGTGAGCACAGCGAGGCAGTACCTCTCAGCAGTGACAAGAGCAATGTGAAAGACAAGCCATGCACAGCTGTCACACCACAAAATGAAGAGTGTTTTGATTTGCCTATTCATGCAAATCAGCAGATTACAAGCAGGGAACTATGTATCAGGAAACAATGGTTGGAATACTGCAAAGTTTGTGCCAGGCAGGTCCCACAGACTCTCACACAAGAATAGAAAGAACACCATATGCAAGTTTGTCACGACCTACTGAACCAATATCAGGCTGAAGGTGACATTTTCCAGGGTCTCATCATTACCAGAGATGAGACCTGTTGTTACCATTATGGGCTGCAATGTGAAGTGGCAAGATGTGAATTCCCCATCAAAGAATAACTATTTTAACTATTCTTTTAATTTCTGGGGAAGTAAAGACCCAACAATATTAATTACATATTAACAGCTGCATTCAAAAATCAGTGAAAAGATCTCCCATGATTTCAGCAGCCTTGTAGTTAATAATGTATGCTATCAGAAAAAAAAAAAAAAAGAGTAGATTTACATACAGAAAGGATCTCAAACTTCATAATCATGTTTTTAAAAAGCTGAAAGGCTTAATAAACGGTGAGAAAAATAAGAATAAAGAAAATATTCATTAGCTTATCCAATTCACAGTTTAAAAGTTTGAGACATTTAGGATCTCTTTTACATTCCAATTCATAAAATGTGAAACTGATGACAACATAAAACAAATAATTTTAAGACAAATCATGGCAGCTTCAAAGCTGCTTTCCATACAGCTGAGCCATCTATGCACCAAAGGTGAGGCAGATGATGACTAGGGAAAGCAAACCTCACCAGCTGCTCTCATTGAGCTCAAGCATCTTTTCGATTTCAGGTACCAATCTTGCTGAAGAGGCAGGCACTCAAATATCCACTCCTGTAGAGTGACCAACAGTGACTTCACCCATAGGGGTTTAGAAGAAGAAGAAGGACTGCTGATAAGGAAGGTGGTTTACAGACATTGGATGTGCCTCACGAAATGTGAGTTTAACAGTGCTACTTGTCAGGCCAATTAAACATCTTACAAACAGGCTTGCAGGCACCCTCCTCTTCTGCTATTAGGTGGAAACGATTTGGCAAAGATCTCATTAACTGGGGATCAGATTCCACTGTGCTTCCTTCTTACTAATTCCTTTCCCCCTCACACTTATATACACAACATGCAGCTGCGGTGCAGAGTTAAGAATAAGGGCTTTAAAATCTAAGTGCTAGGAATGGAAGTTCCACTGCGAGTCGTTTCCAGCCCTAACACTTCTGATTTCAAGCCTCCGATAACTTAGCTCTCTAGACAGTGTGGATTCATTTAGCTTTAGCTGCAGGAGCACTAACCGTGATGAATTTATGTGTTCCTTATTACACTAGCTGCTTTGCTTTAAAGGCTGAGAGAATGCCTGCTATTTCCCATCCCCCCTGCACTCCTACAACCTCACACACTCGGTTCCACTTACAGGTTAATTTCCCAAGTACTCTCTGCTACACGTTTAGCTGTGCTGTCTTAAAATGTGTCTACGTTACAGTGGTGCAGGGTAGGATTAATGTTCAAATTCCAGAGTAATTTGAAGGAGGTCAACAGATTGAGCTCCCTTCACTAACACAGCTTCTCTTAAAACTGGCATCTTTTGCACAGCTGTGTCTCGAATTACATACATACACTACACATGTATGTCACAGCATGTGTTCGTATGTTTCTATTTATACACACAAAATAATCCATGTTTTGTCTGGTACCGTTCATTTCCAGAGGAAACAAAGGTGAAAGCAGAGGAAAAGCGGTGGGGGGATGGAAGCCATAATTAAAATTTGGTTCTCATGGATGGGTGTACATCTAACTCACAAACCAGAGGTTTCCACTGGAAACATAAAAACCGAAGCACTCTGTAGTCTGTCAGTTCTCACATGAGCAGGGAGTCCCAGGGGACTCTGCAGTAGCCATTGAATCTAACCTCCACCCAGGTAGGGTCACTTAAATTTGACTCTTGGTGCATATCCAAGAAAGAGATGCATTCAGAGGCAATTTGCTTATGACGGAGTTCTGCTTTGTTGCCATCAAGGGAAAACATCACCTAAATAAAGAGGAAGATGCACAAGGCACTGAAACACCTTTTTTTTTTTTTAATTATATTTTAAAGCAAATGTAGATGTGCAAACAAGGGCAGTGGAAGGAGAAAGAACCAAACGAGGGGAGCAGTAGGAAGTGGAGAAAGAAGATAAGGACAGGAAAAAAGACAGCAGGAAAGGGGAGCATAGATAGGAAAGGAATAACAGCAGAAATAACAGTAGCAAAGCAAGTACAAAATGCCCCGTGGGGTACTTCCTTGTCAATATCCTACAACCCGTTGGCTTTTGCAGCGCTGTACTCACTTCCCCACATAAGATGGGAAATGAAAACACTCCCCCTCTCAAGATTTCTAGGTCTGGTTTCTGTAATTCCCTCTTCTTACTCAGTGTGAGAGCTGGGTCTTTCAGAATACGCTTATCATTCCAGAGAGGTCAACCTGCTGATCCCTTTTATTGAGGTCTGACTGCCTTTGTACAAATGGCTGTACAAATTTATCTCCCCAACCTGCTCTCCCCTTCTTATCTTTCATGAGTCCTCTGTGGAGGGAGCTGAGATTCTGGAAGCAGGCATCATGCAAGAGACTGGGTTGAAGAGCTGAGGACAGATGTGCCTCCCTCTTCAGATATCTCAGGGGACAAAAGGGATGAGAAAATTCCTTCTGAAATGAATGGAGCAGTTCACACCTCTCAGAGCTGTTGTTTCAGGCTACATTTATGTCTCAAACAATATTCATCTCCACCTTGAATTCTCACTCAGCTCAGGATATCTGACCATGATGAATAGGTCATTCCAAACCTTTCTGAAAACTCAGGTCATTTTTTTCTAAGTGCTATATAATCCCCATGCTTATCTAACTGCCTTAAAATCTGGCATGGTTACTGCAGGTGGTGAGTAGAACCTAAATTATAGGTCATTTGAGTCAAGAATTCCCAAGATACAGCTTTCTTTTAAAAAACAGCATTCCTTAACGTTGACCAATTGTACCAATGTTTCCTTTGTACACACTTCCAGAATCAAACTGTGGCTAAAGAATCTCAATTGCTTAATGTTTACCCTAGCAAAAGAAAGGCATCAACTGTCTCCTTGGTATTCAGACTTCAGATGTTTTTAAAAATTTCAACTCTACACATGCAGTGAATTAAACACTCAGGACTTCTGGGACTTCCTGACCTTTTGAGCAGGTCTGAACATCTCCTAAATAAAACCTGGAAGTCCTTTTCTGTAAGAGAAGGATGTTAAGAATCCTTGTTCCTGCACTTACTAAGCACTCAGGAGCTAGACATGAATTGCAGTCAGACTATTTTGAGAATGAAGAAAAAAAGGAGATAAATACGTAACTCATAACTCTGGAAATAGTTAGAGACAGAAGGGAGGAGACAGGTTATTACAGTCAGTAGAAGCCTAGTCTAGGCTCTGGTGGGATCTCAGCTCAACAGCTTGGAAAGTAAGCAAGCATACGCACACTGTAACAGCAACAATATAGCCAAGCAACCAGGTATCTGCCATGCAAATCACCAGATTCTCACACATACATGCAAATTTTTACATGCTTTTTATTGCTCAGCCTGACAGGTCAAACAAAGTGGCTCATTTTTTCCATTGCAACATCACTGGAAAAAGCTCCTTTGCCTCAGGTTGGAGGCAACCTGCCTGGCACAGCATCAAAATGAGACGTGGATAAATGACCTAAATCCTCAAAAGACTTTCGTGTTCCTTTTCAGCTTCCATCACACAAGGGAGGGGTTCATTTCCACAGAAGTGATTGTAGTAGAATACGCTGTTACGACAATCACAACTCTTTTAAGCTGTTCCAAGTATGGTTGCCATAAATTCAACATAAGTTGGAGAGTAATTTAGATACAGTGAGGGAGGGCCTGCAGGTGTTTCTTTCTAACTAAGACACCTTAGGTTTATATTTTCAACGTTTTGGAAGCCACATACTATCAAGCAATCGATGACTTAATTAAGATATTTTTCAGTGAAATTATGCCATTACTGTTTTGTCATTTCCCTTCATCTCTCAAGGGCTGACATTTTTCAGCACTGACAAACTATTCATTTAATACTCCAAGTAACGTTCAAAATGAACTACATATAATTTTACAAACAACTGTGCGTAAGTGAACAAAAGCAAAGTTACCAAGAAACGTGTACGGAAACACATTCAACCTCAGTGAATGTCAAAGATGTTTGCTAAAGTCAGTGTTTCACAAATGAAAGCCAGATGAATTCACAGTATCGTGACATAATGCAATAGCATTGGAAGCATCTAATTCCAAAAGCGTGTACACATTCACAGCTGTACTTGCATATGAATTACACAGAAATTCAGCCTAGGTGTTGCTAATAGAACAGAACATAAACTCCAACCAAAAAGAAGATACACTGCAGTTAAATGACACAGCAATGAGGTAATCTGATGAACTAATAGCTCATTATATAAAAACAAATGAGGAATCTGGCAATTCAGTCAAAGAACAAATGTTTCTTGAACTTTAGTTTCTTATTAAGGTATCGTCCATTTTAAAATAAATAAATCAATAAAAGCATTCAAAATTAACCACATTTATCTGTGGATGGCAAAACAGCACCAGATTACGGACACAGTGGAATATCTCAGAAAGATACCATATTAAACAAAACAAACTTCAAATAATGAGTTTGCATGAATCAGCTGTGAAACTAAAATTAAGTACAAATAATGTAAGGGGTAAAAAGTACTTCAAAAAATATCTATTCCCTTCAAAGTGCTTAAAAATGGTAAGAAGATTGGGTTACTCTATGCTACCACAGTGCATTTGGAAGGCATGTCAAAGATGAGTTCTAAAAGTTCATTATTTTCCACAATCATTTCGTTACCACAATCATTTCAGTTACCACAATCAGAGCTCAGTTGTACCACAGTCATTTGAAAATGCAAAGCCACCTGGAACAAAGGCCTTTTCAGACAGAATGAGGATGATAGCTACACTATTTTAATCTTAATCTCTCGATTAAAAGGTTCCTGAGTTTTATTTTATACCATCTTTAACTAAAGTACTTATTAGGATGATTCTCACGGAGAATAGCAAGTACACGTCTTTTTTATTTCAAAAGGATTTGCCCAGGGAGAATTTGAGGCTCAGAGAACCACAATACATAACCATTTCAGAAAGCAGCATCAAGCGAAAATCCCTTGGATACAGCAACTCACAGTGAAAACTTTAAAACCCCAGTCACAGCCAAAGCAACATATGCTCCAAGCATTTCATTTCCAGCAGTGACACTGGCATAAACACACTGGTTGTTTCACTAAAATTTAAGTTAATTTACTAATGGTTGAAAATAAGTTAAATGATTTCTAGAAACTCAGAACTATGGCTTGGCCTCTTAGTAGCCCAGGCGATAGTTGGTGTGCAAAGGACAGCATACTTAACATCTGTACAGTGTTCCCAATGCTTCCTAAAAATAAAAGTATTTCCAAAGATTAGAGTAAACATTTCATATGATGAGGGCTCTTTATACATGGCTGTTTGTGTTAACAGATTAAATATAATTTCTTCTCTTTCAATGAACTCACCGAGTTGACAATATGTCAATAAGTTCTTTTCTGTTCTGGACTCTCAGCTCATTAGTTTTGTATCTGGAATCCTTAATGACTTCAGGCAGATTCAGGATCTAAGTGAAAATAAAAGAAAGAAATAGGGTTGGTAGGAGACATTTATGAAGCTGAGGACATTCTTTAAGAATGATATCTTTCCAAAAACCACTACTTCTCATTACTATTTCATCTAGATTAGGAAATTAAAAAAAAATAATGACTCCTGTTCAGTGTTACACAAGTACAGAAAAAGCAAAGAACTGAACAAATCCATGTCAATATCTCTCACTATTACCTTGGAGGGACTCTTGTGATCATAATGCAGAACATGGAAACATTTTTAAATTATTACTGTTCTGCAGGGAAGATCTGTGGGATTATCAAACAAAGAGTTACAGCTCACAGAAAAATAAATAGGACTGTACCTCCTATGCTAGACCAAGAAAAGCCATGCTTAAGAATGTTTTTTTTTTCATTTCACTAGGTTCTATCAAAAAGAAAAAATGTCATAGTTTGTCTTTACAATTTTTTCAGAAAGAATTGATACAGAAAATTGGTGGTATAACCTCTAAGAAAGGAGAAACAGATCTTCTATTTTTAACTTTACCTGGTACACCAAAAATTTAACTGTCAAGAAAAGGCAACGTGAATTGCATTATGAATGGAATTAAAAGTCAAGAATAAGCGTTTGAATTTCTCTTTTTGAGGGTGACAGAGCACTGGAACAAGTTGCTCAGAGAGGTTGTGGAATCTCCTTCTCTAGAGATAATCAAAACCTGCCTGGACACTTTCCTCTGCCACCTGCTCTAAGGAACCTGCTTTAGCAGGAGGCTTGGACACAACGATCTCCAGGGCTTCCTTCCAACCCCTGCAATTCTGTGATTCTGCGTAAGGGCATTTATGAGACAGATTAGCTGGATGGACTACCAATACCTGGTATATAATTTATTTACTCATGCAATAATGTATTCATATAGAGCATAAATAAATAGAATAAGTTTCACTTTTACAATTGAATAAAATATAACGCAGTAACATCAGCTACAGAGGAAGGCAGAAAAGAAGCTTATAAAGAAAGAGACTGTCATGTATTTAGTGGTCCTCAATGGATTTTTCTTTTATTAACTCGCCCAGGCACTCCTTGAATTCATACGTCTATGCACAACCACATGCTAGTGATACATAGATTGTTGTCAACCTCCCTTGAACTTGACTCATATTTATACTAATTTCTTCAAGATGGGTTCAGACAAAGGTCACTAGCATTTAATGACTCCTCACTTCACTGGAGAGAATATGGATATCAAGTGAATAGCTGTTGATGAGGTCAATATTTTTCAAAAGATATTCAGAGACATTCAATATAGATAGCCACCCTTGGCCTGTTTGTCACCCAGAGTGGCAAAATTGAGACTGGAAACAGGTATCAACAAAGCTATGTTAGAACCATGACCATACTGCATATCTTTTCTGCAGATATTTATTTGCAAGATAACATAAAGCATCAATCTTCCATCACTATTTAATTTGCTCATGTTTTCTTTTCCATCTATTTTCACGCAATCTTATGAAAACTGTGACATATCATAATCTAGCTTTAGAAAACTTTTTCCTCTTTTAGAAAATTTTTTAGATTTTTTTTCCTTCTTCTTTAGCAATATTATTGGCACCCCCTTTAAATTATTCCCTCTTGTTGATACAATTATTTACGTATTGAAAATTACTGCTTTAGAAAAACAATGTAAAAATTTTCAGAAAATGACAGTGAATACATATTTATAAGAGCATAAGCAACTGAGAAATTTGTAAGAAAATTATAGATCTATTTGATGCTATATGAAAAACTAACATATTGAGTTGCTCGCTATACTGTTTTAATTAATGTTACTGACTTCAGTGTCAACTTAATGTCCATCTCTTATAAAGCTGTGTGACAATTATGTTCTCAGTTTGGTGTCCAACAAATGCATGTTGGGAAGTTATTTGTGAATGTGCCGTTCATCTGTATTGTGCTACCAAAGTTATCGTCCTCATTTCACTCTGGCCACTTAGAATGAAAACTGTTCTTCATTTCTCTTGCAACCTCACTTGCAGAATAGTTGGCCTTTGCAGTGAAGATTTATTTAGGATGCACATTCAGAGTTTACACCCTACATTTCCCCCCCAAAAACTGCACTCTGCTGTATAAAAAAAGCACAGTTTTCTGAAGACTCTTGCTCAGTATTCTGTTTAGACTGAAGTTTTTCAGCAATCATCCCCAAGTCCCCAAACAACCTACAGTTAGTTTTCACTGATTCTGAAATTATTCCAGTTTTTTTTTTCTTTCTTGCTTGCTAACTGCCTGTCAGAAAAGATACGGTTGAAGCAGAATGTTTGCAATTGTTTACAGCTTGAGACAGCTGTTATGTCTCTTGAGTTTGTGTCTTCAGGGCAACGGCTCCCATAAATTCTGTATTTTCAGCACCAACTCATCTCAAAAAAAGTTTTCTAAAAGCAATCCCAATGTTTGAATTAGTGGCCTCTGTATTTACTAAAGGTTCATTAGGGTGTTGAGGGCCTTCCTGTTATAAAGTCTTCTTCCTTTATTGGCTCTCCCTCTACTGTGTTTTAAGCTCCAAATCACCTTTGCCTTAACACAGAACATACCTCTAGCAGTTTTCACAGCATTCCACTGACCTCCACATTCTTCAATTTCTGTGCAATTTAACAGTCTAAAATCCATACCTACAAGAACTCAGGAAGGGCAAAAGAAAAAGGAATGTTCTTTTTAAACTAAAATAAGATAGCTGGTTTATAGAAAAAAAAACTGACCACAGCTATACAGGATATAACTAGCACTGGGTGTGTAATTGTTCAGGTGATAAAGCACTTGAGAAGACATTCAAAGTCATGTCCTAGAGCTTTCTGGATATACTTATTTTAGGGGACAATCAGTCCTTGATAAAACAGCGCTGTGGCATGTAGATGCTTATTCAGTCATCAGTCTATTTGTGTTAATACAGTGGTCATGCTATAGTGGTTTGACATGCATATGAAGAAAACCCTTTGAGTAAGCTTTGAAGAGGTTACCTTGATACTTATTGAGAAAGGTAATTCGAGCAAAAGAAAGCAGGTCCATCCAGATAGCTGTGTGTGCATATGTTGCCCAAAACACACCAAGAGAGAAGGCAGAAAATCACAACTTGACTAGCTTCTTACTACACGTCCCAGTTATTAGTCATTAGCATCCATAGAAATATGAAATGGCTGAAGTGAACAAATGGAAGAAAATAACGCTCAATTTCCTGAGCTGACAGCTCATTCAGTGTGATTAGTTTAAGCTAAATATCCAAGTTCCAAGAGAAACTACACAATGACAGGAAAAAGGCAGAACTCTCATTTTAAAAAATGCTGTCTAATACTACATGCAATACTTCTCTTCTGCTAGCCTACATGTCAATGGGGTCTTTTGTTTGAAACATTACTATTCTTTTCTTACAATTTTGTTCCCTACAGTCATTCCTTCTCTTCTAAATGTATTCACAGCTCAGGGAAAAACAATTCCAGGCATTAAAACCACAGGAAAAGAGTACGTGAAAAATCCAGAACTAATTTAAAAGTTTTCAAGAATTGCCAGAGAATCATGTTTCTTTGATGCAAAAGAAGTAGGATACCAGATTTTTAAAAGTGGCAGCTCTGTTGAAGCTTTGTTCTTCAATATCATATCTGCACCAATGCCAAGTCAGCCCACAGTCTGTAATGTTTCTTTCCAAGAAGTCCACTAAATTCTCTGCAAGCACAGACCAGTACAGAGCAGTGCACAAAAGGACAACAGAGTTGGCTACTTATTAAGGTGGCACATTCAACCCCTAAGCTGGCTATGTTAGTAACTGTGTCTACCACTGCATGATGGAAAACAGTGTCACATTTTCTCCTAAGAAAGGCACCATGCGATCTCCATGACATTCACCATTCATAAGTGGAAGGTTACTAGCTGGTTCATGTTTTACCAAACTAGCAGTGCAGTGGCACAGACTTCAAAAGGGGCTTGGCACCCACTACATTTGGAATTGAGGTGCTCTGAATACACAAGCAAAGCACAGAACTTCATCAGTCCCCTGAACGACCAGTTAGAAGCAGAGAGTTTGGATTTATTTATTTTATAAAAAAGGGGAATGAAGAAGCAATCAATAATTGCTTTGCTATATAGCATGGAAGTTATTACACATTTTTGTACTGGCAACCTCATATATCATTACCTGGCACACAGTGACAAATTGCTGATCATTTCCAGCTCCCACCACGATGTAACCATCTTCAGTCTTAAAAGCCTAGAAGAACAAAGGTAGGTGATAAGCTGTGACAAAAATATGAAATATAACTTCTAGGTGATAGTTTGCAAATAATGTTCAAATGCCTTCCTTAAATTAACATTTCCATCCAGACTCTAGTTCTACAAAAGTGGCTCATTGTCAGTTTTTCCAAGATCAAGCTCCTGGAGAAAACAGAAATTCTTCTCTAGCACCGAGGATTTATACATATATACATATACATATATATATATATATACACATATATATATATTTAACTTCATTACTGTGTCTTTATTGGCATGCTTTATCTTTAAATCACCTCCACTGAAGATTTTCACTGGGACCAAGAAAATCTGTAATTGGCACTAGCCAAGCTTTTTCCACTGCGCATCTTCTAACAATGGATAATGCAAATGGATTCTCCTTTCTTTCACTCCTCTCCTTTATTACTGCTGCAGTTGTCAAAAGCACTTGGGAAAACCTCTTTTGCTCTTCAGTGGAAGAGGACAGCACGGCTCATGCACTAATGGTGACAAGGGTTCGCATTAATCTCTCACAGAGAACAAAACACATCTTCCATCCGCTCAGATCAATTTTCTCATCAGCTAACACTGCCTGATCCAAAGCTGGAACTCTTCCTACACATTTTGGCTAAAAAAAACCACACAGGTAAGAGCTCTAGAGTAGAAACCATAATAAGCATCTCCCATCAGTGTGGCTTATTCTACTTCACAAACAGGAATATGTCAGTCCAATTTGCAAGCTTTTGTACAGAGACAACTGCATCCATGCCAGTAGTCTCTAACCACTGGACTCAGTCAAAGTTTTCAAATTCTGTATGGCAAATTATGTCCACTGAAATGAAAGAAACTGCACATGGTATTTAGGTTACCATTTGTTTACTTCCTCTGCATTTCATTTCCTGAAAAATAGTATCAGTCAGTGATTATGTTTATGAATGTATTTTTCAGAGATTTAATTAAGCACTTGGATCTAAGATTCATAGCAAATAAAGATGAAATTCAGCAAACATTGAGAGCCAAACAAAAACTTGACCACAGGACAGTAAAAGTCTAGAAGCATGCATAACATATAGGTACTGCATACTCACACTTAGAAAAGCAGTGAGCAGAGAAAAAGTTGGGGAAAAGAATACAAAAAAGAAAGTTGTAATCATTGCATAAACATTTTTTAGCTAGGTATATACATGCAGATTTCTGTCTAACAGTCATGACACAGCCTGGTCTAACAATACGTAAGGAACATTCATTTAATTTTTTTAGAATGCATACTTTTTAGTAGGAATAGTTATGAACCAAAGCTGCCATTATAGCCTTACTACCTTCTCTTTTATGTATAAAAGACCTATTTCCTGACCCCCTATGTCCCAGCCTGATCTGCTTTCACTGATGCTCTGAAGTCTAAAAGCAACCGCATACATTTCACACCAATTATGGTGTAAACACACACATCTGTGTGCATATGTAACACAATATAGCTTTTATTGGTACGACCACCTACCACCTCCACTAAACACAAATTCTTTTACACGTTCTTTTATACTTCCAGTCTGAATGCCTGTTACAGACTGCAAAACCCACGTGCACTTACATACAGATCCCATTTTTTCACACTCCAAAATCTATTCAAACTGGTGATACGGGCAAATCTGAAACAGCTTACTATTTATCAGCAGCTTCTTTTGAGGCTCACATCTATGCAAGAAGGCTGTGATCACACAATAGCTGCATGCCACCATGAGACATGCGTCTGCACCGTGGGCTGCCTGGGGAGCAGCGGAAGTCACTTGAAATTTCAGGGCCTGGCTATTAGCATTTGGGCTTCAGTGGCTTTGTGGAATGTGTGGGAAAAATGATTATTCTTAATTGCGCTGTATGTCTAAAAAGGCAAATCAACAATCATGTCAACCTTACACAACAAAAATGATATCATAATAAATGCAGCAGTGTCTTTTTCCACGAAGCTTAACTCAAATGTCTTCAGCTGCTATTTTAAGCTTCCCATTACAAAACAACTGATAATTTGTCAGTCACTGCTGCTGATAAAGCAGAAATATCCAAATGTTATTAGCACAATATTGATGCCAACATTTTAGGGTGATAACAATGGTTTTATTCATAACCCACAAATGTACGCACACTACAGGTTACCACAGGTTATTGTCTGGTCACAGAAAGCTTCATAATATTACACAAAAGAGAGTAAAAGCAAAGTGCAAACAGACTTTAATGAGATTTTGTTTTGATAAACTACTGTCTATCACATCCAATCACTTCATATTAGTGCAATAAAAGGCACTACGCATGCAAGGCAAAAGTCTTTTTACCCTTCTGCTCCTTCTAAAGAATGAAGTCTTCTGAGAAGATTATAAAGAGTGTGATCACAGTTTAAACTGTGACTCCTGTGTGCTATATATCCCGAGCAATAGAAAATACCCTTGGAGAAGACAGGAACCAAGAACTAGACTGAAGAATTAGTTCACACTTACTTTGTGACAAAGATGGGAAGACTGTGCACACAGCAGACAAGGTTTCAGCACGATTTGATAGGCTTGGAAAAGATCACCTGAAAATTTGCTTTGAACAATATACATACAGAACAGCATAGTAACACATAGGTGTTGAAAGACAGAAGTCAAGACCCTGTGTGTGAATGCATCAACACCTGTCATCAACTAATGGATGACGAAGGACTTCATTAAGATTCAGAAATCTGAACAGCCCACCTGTATATCTAAGATACTTTGTGTGCCAAAACTCCTTGAACATGTGGAACATAGACTCTATCCAAGTTCTAAGTGGTTTACAAGTACTCTCAAAAAATGCTATATAGACTACACAATAAGGATGCAAGAAAACTTAACTTCAGTTTATTTTCACAGTGAGCAAAGACTAGTTTAGGTAATTTGAGGCCAAACAAGCCAGTCTCGGCATGGCTCTATGTCAGTATCATAGAATCCTAGAGTCATTGAATGCTCTGTGTTGGAAGAGACCTTCTAAAACCATCTATGCCCCGCCATGGGCAGAGACACCTTTTACTGGATGAGGTTGCTCCAAGACCGCATCCAACCTGACCTTGAGCCCTTCCATAGATTGGGTGTCTACAGCTCCTCTAGGCAGCCAGTTCCATTGCTTCACCACCCTCATAGAGATGGACTTCTACTTTACATTTATCTATGTAAATTTACCCCTTTTTTCTTTAAACCCTTGTCCCGTCACTACAGGCCCCTAGTAAAAGTCCTTCTCCATCCTTCTAGTGAACTCCTCCATATATTAAAAGGCTGCAATAATAGTCTTCTGCAGGCTATCTCACAGCCCTTCTTCGTAGCAGAGGACTTCCATTCAGCCAAGCTCAGACAAGTCTGAATTCCCTGGGGGTGATGGAGCT